GGATTCAAACAGAATTATTTTAAAATTGTACTTTTAAAAGATAATTTTTATTAAATCTTTAAAGACACGTATACGAATTATTATAGAGAGTGAGCATATATATATATATATGTGTGTGTGTGTGTATAAATTACTGCAAACTGCTGGTATTTCTTTAGGGTCAAGATCATTGATAGAAGCTATGCCTAACGAGTCCCTCCAATTAGCTGCTTTAGATCGGTACAGATCGAAGTTGCTGTTGAATCTAACTTTTCTTGTTCGATCACGCGAGTAGAATAGTTTCTTCATCTCAGCATCTCCCTCATGAAATTTCGTAATCCCTTTAATCATTTCTTGCAGAACTTCCAAGGGGATCCCATGATTCACGACTTGAAAGAAACCCCAAGTCTCCGATGCAGACTTCAGCTGGTCAACTATCTCGTCATGCAGGTCGCCATGGATGCCGTCCAAGTCGATGACTGGAACTTGGCGGTCGATCTGGGAACGGTTTGAGTCGTCGGAGAGCTCTTCCGGCGGCCGAACGAAGATCTTGGGGATATTCACAATCCCAGAATCTATCAAACCTTTAACGCCGGTTTTTGTCTCATCAAAAGCCTTAAGCTCCTTTGCCCTGACATAAGCTGATGCATCTTCTTGCTCACAATCCATTCAGCTCCAACCAACCAGCTCTTTGCACAATTCACCTTTCTCCCATGTGACACCGAAACCTTATCAATTAGAATCATGACAGCGATTTTTTGGCTTTTTAATTCCTTGGTCTTATCAATTAGACAGGAAAAATAATAAAAATAAAAAGTTGGACTTTGAATATTAATATAATACTAACAGAAATTATTCACATTAAAAACATGTGAATTTTATTGATGTAATTGATAATAAATGATAAAAAGTTGGACTTTGAATATTAATGTAATAATACTATTAAACTAATTATAACTGAAATTATTAATGGTATATGTAATTAAAAATTTTATTGAAATTAAAATTATCTAGTTAGAGTCCATTATGAACATGCAAAATAGTGAGTTGGGAATACTCAAATTACATCGAAAGTCAAACACAGATTTGAATACAACAGAACAAAATAAAAAAAAACTATATATCAAATTCAAAATGTGACTCTCAATATTTTTTTCATTGCTTGAAAATAACCGGCACTCATTTAAAAATAAAAATAAAAATCATAACAATTTTGACATTTCAAACCATTTGAAAAAGACTCAAAAGGGTTAAAAAAAATAGTATTTTAAAGGTAAAATAGAAAGCTAAAATAGACCTAACACTTTAAAATAAATTTAAAACACCTAGAAAAAAAATCACCAAATAGCTAAAGAGGAAAAGTGAATGACCAATAAAATTTTAACACTTTAAAATTATTTACTGAAAAAAATAAAGAAATGCCGATATATTTAAAACCGTTCAGCATACTCAAAAATAAGATCTAATTTTAAAGTATAAAACAAAATAGAAAGAACAAAATGTATTACAATGAGTATAGATCTCATGCTAAACTCTTAGAAAGATATTGATATCTAAGTAAAACTATAAAAACCATTTATTCCTTACTAATTTCAAATAAAGAAATGTAAACCCTAATTATTATATTTTTTATTTAAATAAATATTTTTACTGAATTATCAACCTCAAAATTCTATCTTCATTTTTCATTCAACAAAAGTATGTAAAGTTTTACAATCTTAATAAAATTATATTAAAAAATATCATCAAACCACAAGTATTACATACATTCAATCTAGAGAATCAGATAAATAGTAAACTCAAATTATAATTCACCAAATAGATTTAAATTTCACATTTTAAGCATGTGCGATTTACTGTGACAAATATATATAAGGTTTTAGAAATTTTATGTACGGAACCCAAATTGGAAATCCCTAAATTGATTATCCTATCTACTCTTCTTCGTTCTAGGTTTTTTTTTTTTTTTTTTTTTTTTTTACTTTTTAGTTATATTTTCTCTCTTACTTTCCACTTTCTCTGTAACTAATGATGGATAAATTTGTGATTAAGACAAAAATTTAAAATGAATCTTAAATACCAACTGAATAATATGGGAGATTATTGGAAAGAAATAATTGCGGTGGGAAAAACAAAAGGATGAAGTTGTTGTGTGTATTAAGGACTTCTAAGGGAACTTGTTACTTAGTAAATTAAAATAAACACACAAAGAATGTCATGCCACAGGAGAAGACTCCATATGTTTTTAAAATAACAAGAAAGAAATTAAATTAATGAAATCTCATGGAGATAGACTTTAACTATTTAATATAATTAATGGAAATAAGTTATACTCGATGGGGGTTAGACTTAAAATAAGTTTAAATTAATTTTGTAGTAATTAGCGAAAAGTAATGAAGCTCATAAGGATTAAATCGAGGTTTATTATTGTTAAAGTAATTAAAAGTAAATGTTCAAAGAAAATAATAACAAGGGAATCGAAGAAATGACATTTAAGGCAAACGATAGGCAAATTGTAAGTCCTTCAAGGAAAAGATTCAAAGTTGGCACACATATTTCTAAAATTAATAAATGATAATAGTAGATTTTAATTAAGTAAAATACTGGAAGTAAAATGAAAAGATAGTCAAGAGTCAGTATAAAGTATCAAAAAATTAAAATATGTTTCATCATATAGAAATTAAAAGGAGGGGTGTGTGCATGTCTAATCGGTATTCGACAGGGTGACTGTTGATGAACCCTATCACATAGACAAAAAAATTAGTTGTATTATTTATTGTTTAATTGTGACAGTATGAACTCACATCTAGAATTCTAACTGTTTGCCAACTATATCATGATAAAATAATTTATAAGAATATTTTGTGAAACAAATTTTAAAATAATAAAAAGTACATTACTTACATACTTAATTCAAAATATCCAATATCTATGAGATATGTTTAAACTCTAAAATAAATAATCACTAAAAAATAAAATGATTAACATTAAGTATTGTTCGAATTAAAATAGAAATTAAATGATATTCTAGCAAGTCTTTCACTATTCAGGAGCGGAGTTTTGAATATCCTGATCTGTAAGAAATGAATAATAAATATGGTGAGCTTAATATACTCAGTAAGTATGTACTAACAAATAATATGATAATTTGTCCAAGTTGGTAAAAAATATAAAACTATCAATGGAGATAGTTCAAAATATTTTTCTCTTTAATTGAGAAAACACGTAACATATACACCTAATTCATTAACTAAAAATTACAAATCAGTTTATTCAGTAAATATTCAGAATCCATTATTTCAGTATCATAACTCATAATACAAATAATTCAATAAATAATATAATTCAGTATTCAGTATCATAATTTAGACAGTAAGCAGTTCAGTAGATACTAATTCAGTGTTTCAGTCTCATAAACGTTACACATGACTTCCTATTCATTTCTATCAGCTTATATCATATTAATATAATTTCACCGTGTGATACCATTTTCATCGATATCAACGAGAGCAGTAAGGATCTCCTCTACTACGTGAATATGTTACAGTTCAGTTCACGATTTATAGCTTGCAATATACAGTATTCAATCCACAGTTTTACAATACTTGTCATTTCACCATGTCTGCCTAAATTCATATCTATGGGTAGGGTTCACCACAGTTACATATTAAAAAGCTACACACGCACACACCCACCCCTCGGCGATACCCGTTAAATGAATTTTTTAAATCTTTTAATAAATATCTTTTCATTTCAAGTTGCTGATAAATTTTCTAACTTTATCATTTAATATTTTTTATACATGTAACACACATACTATAAATATTCATTACTCTAGACTCTTCTACATATATTTAATATATTCATAATTACATAGCAACCGGTAAATATACGAATTCAACTACCAGAACATAGCAAAACAATTTACAAGCAATTTCAGTAGTAAACATAAATAAGAATACCACAATAAGTAGTAAGATCTTGTCAAAATTATGCGCCTAATTATCAATTATTAATGTCATAGTTTTAATATCTTAGAAAGATTAAACTACATTTATAAGCACTTACACACTTACCTGATTTTCTTCTAAATCTCGTTCGTGAAATTATCTCTGATGTACAAAATCAACCTGTTATAGTGATATCTATATCAAGTTAGTAATGAACTGGTTATCCCATAATTTCAAACACATGTGTCTAGCCTTGTTCTTAATTCTAAATCGAATACATAATTTATTGAATTAAAATTAAATAGGATTAATATAACTCTAAATTTGAAACGGTAAATCATGAGGGTTTTTTGAACTCACCTATCCAAACCGGGTCCCTGTGATTCACTGCGCACAACCACTAAAAGTCCATGCACCTCCACACGCACCGGCACCAGACCTCCACGCGCCATCACCGCCCAACGCCGCTTGCCTTTGATCGCAACTGTGGATTGGCCGAAATTCACCGTAGGGTGCTTCGTACCCTCAAATCCGGCACAAAGCTTGTGGAATCGCGCTAGAGGGAGCTGCAGAACAACCAAACACGCCCTGAGTCATCGCGTTGACCTTCTTCTTCTCTCGTGCACCGCCGCATGCAGCACTGTCCTCTCTTCCTCCTTCTTCATCTTTTCCTTCCTCCTCTCCTCTCTCGGCTGCCGACTAACGGTAGCTGCGACCCTTCTCTTTCTCTCTCTCTCTCTCTTTCTCTCTCCACCTCTCTCCCCCTCTCTCTATTTTCCTCTCTCTCCCTCCCTCTCTCTCTCTCTCTCTATGTCTTTCTCTCTTTTCCTGCACTGATTGCCTCCCCTCCCTTCGTATTTTATAGGGAGTGGAGGGAGGACTCCTACACGACTCTTCTTCCTAGTCGTGCAGGTCTCCTCTCCTCTTTTTCCAACCGACGGCATAGGTGTACACGCCTCTACCTCTTCACCTTCCTCTACCAAAAGCAAGCACGCCTCTGTTTTTTTTTTTTTACCCAAAACGATGTCATTTTGGTGTGTTACATTAATGGTCACATTGGCCAAGGACTATCATGGTCAATACCATCGTATTGTATTGTATCATTCTATTGTTACTATTATTGTCTCGATGTTTATAATGGTAATTTCTACTGCTCTCATTGATAATGATTAAAATGATATCATACGATAAAACTCTCAGTATTTTTAAGTGTCAAACTGTATCCTGTGAACTATATTGACAAACTGTAAACTGTAATTATTATACTATTAACTGTAAGACTGTAAACTATATTTGTCGACAATAAACTGCAATGTTGTATTGTTAACTGTAATACTGTAACATGTACCACTAACTGTAAAATGTAAAACTGTGCTGCTAATTGATAAATTGTAAATTATACTTTTAATTGTAGGTTGTAAATAGTAATCGTAAACTGTAGAGTGCAAGAAAGGACTCTATGGATATATTATTCTTTTTATTTTTGTTTTTTAATGATGAGTATGAATAAAAGGGTGGATGCAAGATATACAAGATATGATAGCCTAATGAAAGATAACAACTACGCAAAAATTATATAAGATAGTAAAATCTCTATATGCCTAAGGTCTGATACCAAATTATGCAGAACCTAAGATCAACAATTGTGATAAAAAATCTCAATATACAATTCACCATAAAAACTTAATCTCTAAACAAATCATTTCTACTTAACTCATTATCAACTTGTGATTGAGAAATAAGATAATTGAGATAAATGAATTGATTAAAAAATCACAAGAAATATCTTGATAAGTTAAAATTAACGCAAGAAAAG